AGTATTTGTTTTTGCAATTGGACATATCTCTAGTAACTTTTACGGTAATTTATATGTTGATGTTAACAATGTTAAGAAATACGTGACGGAGCTTAGCCAATCGTAATTTATGTCTATACATGTACAATTCTTGACGTATGTTTTGTATGTTTGTATTTCAGTTTCACAAGATATTCAGTAAATTCACAAAAAAGAATCTGCTTCTGTGGAGTTGCTGAATACCTGTTTAGCTGCTTGGATAACTGACTCTTAGTGAGGCCATGACACATAATATGTAACGTATTTGTTTGTTTTATCATACGGATTAAGTCAAACGTTAAAAAATGCTCACCTGTAACTTCTTTATTTGTAAATATCTCATACAACGTGGGAAACCTGCGGCTTAAAATCCGGTGCGGCTTATAAAAGTACAAAATTGATTTTCTTTCTAAAATTAGAGCGTGCGGCTTGTAATCCGGTGCGCTTTATAGTCCGGAATTTACGGTATATGATACGATATAATATGACATAATATGATATAATATGACACGGTTATGGAACAGAAGCCCCTATATGAGCTCCTTTTTCTATCTAACCTTCAACAAAGAGTTAAACCCAAAACACTGAAGATAACGTTAAAATTTCAAAGTAAAAGCTTCTCTTCCGAGGTAAGGAGGTGCAGATAAATTCAAAATAATATATATAATATAATATGATCATATAGAATGATATAATATGATATAATATGACACGGTTATGGAACAGAAGCCCCTATATGAGCTCCTTTTTCTATCTAACCTTCAACAAAAAGTTAAACCCAAAACACTGAAAATTACGTTAAGATTTCAAAGTAAAAGCTTCTTTTCCAAGGTAAGGAGGTGCAGACTCATTCAAAATATCACATTTATATCATATTATATCATAATATGATATAATATGACATAATATGACATGGTTATGGAAAAGAAGACCTTATATAAGCTCCTTTTTCTATCTGACCTGCCCCAAATGGGCAGTTTGTGAATCAGGAAGACCTGGAAAGGCCTGGAAAAGGCCTGGAAAGACCTTTAAAGACCTGGAAAGGTCTGGAAAAGTCCTGGAAAAGGCCTGGAATAGACCTGGAAAGTCCTGGAAAATGCCTGGAATAGACCTGGAAAAGGCCTGGAAAGGCCTGGAAAAGGCCTGGAAAGACTTCCTCAAATAAAACTTTGTCCCATTTAAAAGTTAAAGCCAAAACACAGAAGATGACCTTAAAATTTCAAAGTAAAAGCTGCTCTTCGGAGGAAAGGAGGTGCAGATTAATTCAAACAAAATATCACATATATAATAAAATATAATATGAAATAATATAACATAATATATAACACCGTTATGGAAGAAAAGCCCCTATATGAGATCCTTTTTTTTTATCTAACCTGCAACAAAAAGTTAAACCTAAAACAATGAAGATTACGTTAAAATTTCAAAGTAAAAGCTTCTCTTCCGAGGTAAGGAGGTGCAGATAAATTCAAAATAATATATATAATATAATATGATCATATAGAATGATATAATATGATATAATATGAGACGGTTATGGAACAGAAGCCCCTATATGAGCTCCTTTTTCTATCTAACCTTCAACAAAAAGTTAAACCCAAAACACTGAAGATTACGTTAAAATTTCAAAGTAAAAGCTTCTTTTCCAAGGTAAGGAGGTGCAGATAAATTCAAAATAATATATATAATATAATATGATCATATAGAATGATATAATATGATATAATATGACACGGTTATGGAACATAAGCCCCAATATGAGCTCCTTTTTCTATCTAACCTTCAACAAAAAGTTAAACCCAAAACACTGAAGATTATGTTAAAATTTGAAAGTAAAAGCTGCTCCTCAGAGGGAAGGAGGTGCAGACTCATTCAAAATATCACATTTATATATATTTATCATAATATGATATAATATGATATAATATGACATAATATGACATGGTTATGGAAAAGAAGACCTTATATAAGCTCCTTTTTCTATCTGACCTGCCCCAAATGGGCAGTTTGTGAATCAGGAAGATCTGGAAAGGCCTGGAAAAGACCTTTAAAGACCTGGAAAGGTCTGGAAAAGTCCTGGAAAAGGCCTGGAAAGACCTGGAAAAGGCCTGG